GATGCTTCAAATAAAAATACAAAACAGATACACTTGAAAAATGTCAGGAAAATTATGAGAGCCAATCTCACCTGTCCAGATTGCCCTTTCTTTTAATCTGGGTTATTGGACTGGTACTACAACATGTACTCTCCGGTTCACAGAATCTTTATCCAAGGGCATCTTATATTATTGGATGCTTTGCATTATTCTTAACAACCCCACTCATTCTCTCTCGTGTTTGTCTCGCATAAAATCTTCTAGACACTCAGTGCTCCACCGCGGTGAAGTTTGGTATTCATCAAAGAACAAGTGCGAATGTCATAAGACCCATATTCTTTTGAGTGGAAAAATTTGGGGCAACAATGATATATATAATTTGTGGGGGTTAAGACTAATGTTTGCTATAAATACCATAGGTGGATATTGTTGGGACGTGATTCAAAGATTACTCTTCCATCTCTTAAAGGGGTACTTTCATTGTAGAAAAAATGTATTTTATGGACGCTCATAAAAGTGCATTTGTAGAGAAAAAAAATACAATAAAAAAGATCAAATTGTATTTGAAAAATAAATCTATTGCCAAGCCAACATTTCTACAATATCCAGGCTGGTCGCATGCTAACCACATCCATTACATAATGATCTAACTTTTCTAAAAATCTGTAAGGCCCTACTTTTTCGCTTTTTATATTTTTTATTTAGTCTTCTTTGGTCTAGTGTTGCAAATATTCCATCTATTTTCTTAATTTTTTTTTTTTTCTTGCCACTACCTGCTGATCCCATGTTTGAAACATCGAAATACCCAACTTTAGGGCAATATGATGATTTAAAGTTTGGACCAATCCGTGCTTTTTTATGTTTTTGGATTTAAATGTGGTCCAATAATTGCAATATTGAACTGACCTAAGGTGCACTTTTTTTGTTTTTTTGGTTAAAGAAGTTGTCTAATATTTGGAATATCGGTCCCCCCTTAAGGTTTTGTGTCAAGCATGATCAAATTAGGGCTTAAAAGCCCTAAAATCAACTTCATCTTTTCATCCCAAAATGAGGTTTTGGTAAAAGAGAGGATTTTTTTTTTGGATAGTTCAGTGGGGAAGGGGTCTTGTACCTGTAGTATATGAATCCCGTAGTAGGAATAGAACGCCTCACATTGTGGTACCCCGTCACAATGCGACGTCTGGAAATCCTCACATTGTGGCGCCTCATCACAATGTGAAGTTTGGAGAGAGAGAGAGAGATAGAGAGAATATGGGGGATGAAAGTTTAGGTTTCAATTATGGGTTTCAAGCCCGAATTCAATCTCTAAACCCAAAAAAAAGGAGAACCCCCACCTGTCCCCACCAAAAAAAACAGAGAAAAAAAAGAAGAAAACAACTTAGATTGGTCCGATGTTGTAATCTTTAGAGTACTTCGAAACGAAAAATGAATTTAAAAAAAAAAAAAAGAAGAAGAAGAGAGAAAGTAAAAAGATAAGGGATTGGTCCAATATTTGAATCATCTACTCTAAAACAAGGCAAGAAGATTACTTTGGAGTGAAGTGATGTTTTTGGTAATGTGCAACCCAACTTTAGGGCAATCCCAAGCTTCATCAAACTGACCTCTGGCCTCCAGGAAATCCCTAGTGTTAAAAAAAAAAAAAAATTAAATTAAATTCGATGTTGCAAATATCAAATTGAAGATAAATCTGAAAAAAAAGAAAATATCACTGCATAAATTTTTGAAAAAAATTGGACCTTTACGAAATAGTGGAAACCTTTTCTTTGGTCCGTATGTCATTTTTCCTTTGACTTTATGTATTAATAATAGGGATTGTCTACATATAGACCATTTATTTTTTATACAGGGAGGTCACAATCATTCTTTTCTCTTAGCTTTCAAAATGGGTCGTTGTAAGAGTATTATTGATTGACGCAAAGTTCCAAAAAAAATATTATCAGACGTCGTGACTTACCCCAAGCTATCCAATTTGATATGTAATGAGTGAGAATAGTTACGACCTTATTATACAAAAAGCTAAATGATGTCTTTAGAGACAATTCGCTAATAATAAGGGATTTACGTCTGTATGTCTCGCCAACAATGGACAGAGAAAAAAAGAAGTTTTATTAGTAAATGTTGAGGTTGGTGATCCCGATGAAAAGCTCTTTCCCAAATGAAGTTTGAAGGAAACAAGAATATATATGTTTATTTGATATTGTTTCCTATCTTGTGGTGTAAATTCTAGATAATCAATATTTTCCCATAATTAAGTTACAAAAGTGTAGGATATTGTGAGTTGCTTGGGGATAGAACGAGGAGGAAAGCCCACATTAGGCTTATATGCCAGGGAAAGTTTTTAGTAAGGCCTCAACAACATATAAATTATATGTAACCCTAGTTCTTAACCGATTGGTTCAAAATCGATGGCTATGATTGTTCATGCCACAATTTCATGCCAAATATTATTTTATTTTTTATTTATTTTCTACAAAATAGTTTAGGATAAAATTTTCGGCATCCCATCTAGGGAAAACTTGGGAAACGTAAAAAATAAATATTTCCCATAAATATAAATGACCAAAATTCCTCTGATATATTTTAGGGATATTATGGTAAGTGTTTATCAAGCGAAATATTTGTATATTATTTTATCATGTGACCCTTGTCAAATCTATGCATGTCTCAAATTTTGTTTCAAAACGATTTTTGGAATAAAAATTAAAAACAAAAAACTATGCGCCATTCGATCAAGTTCTGATAGTTAAAAGCCAACTTCTGACATTGTGACGCAAGTCATCTCTGCCACCTACTCAGATCTGACGGCTAAGTCCCGGGTCACATATATATATATATATATATATATGGATGGGGTTCCATAGAAAGCATGGGGTTACATATAAAGCTTTTCCTGTATTTTATGTAATGGAGGTTTGCTTGCCCAATTGGGTCGGGAAATTTGGAAGTCTTGTGTGGACAGATTGAAAAGGAACCTAACATCCTAGTCAAAGGAGAGAAAACAAGTCCTCGAGGTGAGAAGCCAAAAGAGAGAAGAAGCCAAGAAAGTGCCTCTTAAAGGTGAGAAGCCAAGAAAATAAGGAAAATTGTTTCATGCGTGCAGGACCGCATTTATGTATGTGCGGTCTAGAAGTATAAATCATCCATCTTAAAGATGAATGCAAATATGTGGTATATCTAAAATCAGTTGAAACTAATAGTCCAAATGTTTTCTTAATAGAATTATTATTTTTAATTTTTAAAATTTGTTTATTTTTTCATATTCATGATATTCACGTTCAAGATTACATATCTTTAAAAATTAAGTCTAAAAATCCATCTAAAAATAAATTTATTAAAGGGCTCACATTTCAACATGTGCGGGCTTGGGCCGCATGCTAACCGTGTCCAAAAAATGAAAAGCTTCTTGGAAAAGGAAACAAATAGAGAGATCCCTTTACATGAAGAAGGCAAGGGTGAGAGAACTCGGAACGAGTAAGTTTACTAAGGCAGGCAAGACGGAGAATACGCCAAACAAGTAAGATAACTTTTCGGTGAGAAAGAGACCAGTAATGTCAATATATTGGTGTGGTTTTGTGAGAAATATTTCCATTGAATTGTGTAATCTTTATTTTTTAGATAAATTTTTTTTTTCTCATTGCCTTTGGATCTAGGCCTTTGAGGTGAACCACGTATATTTTTGTATTTTTATGGCATGTGTATTTTCGATTATTTTTTATACTAATATTACAGTTCACACTCTAGCTGAAATTGTTTCTAGCCAGTTAAGTATAGAATCATAATGGGATCCAATATTTGAAGTTTCTATTTCCGCATCTAAGGATCATTGCTTCCTGGAATTTGTTGGGTTCATGGATCTTGAAAGAGAGAGTAGTAAAATGCCTGCACTAATTGATGGATAACACCAATGACTATTACACATGAATCTCCCAAAGAACAACCATTAAAATTGAACTCAATGATTCCAAATGAAGAGGTTGACACAATCCTCAATGTCACCCTAACAATAATGCCTCAAATTTGGATGAACTCACCGGTAGATATTCTGAACAACTCCTTTGGATTATGGACCCAAAAGGTAATGGCAATCGTGACGATCTCTTTCACATATTATCTTTTGTATTTATTTTAGGTGCATCTGATTGAAAAGTGTAGACTCCCGAAATTTTATGCAATCCAATTTCTGAAAAAGTAAATTTAAAATACAAAATAAATTTGTAATCATTCATTTTATTCACTTCTAATATTAACTGTTGGAGGATGCTTGTGCACAAATTGAGTATCCATATAATTTGGAGGCTATACCATCTCATTTCTTTTACACTAATCCAAAATGATTGTGGGCGAAAAGAATGGAACAAGGTGTTGAAAAATATGGGACACCACAAAATACTTGAACTTGATAAGACAATTATAGGAAAATTCTACATATAAACACAAACACTTATAAAGTTGGGGCCTACAGTCGAAACGTTAATGCATCAAAGTCCAAGACATTTTCTAATTACCATTGAGAGAGAGAGAGATGGGTATTAGAAGAAATAACAAAACTTGGAACAATGTTCATCTAAAGAATATCTCTTTTTTCCTTTTCTTTTGATCCACCACCGCAAACCCCAGTTAGATTCAGGCATGATACAGTTTTTAGTTATTTGGAGAAGCCAAGTACTCTTTTTCGGATCCATAAAACAACTCTCATATATCTATTTCCCTTTTGGAACCTATTGACGTTGGATGACTTTTATCATTTTTGCTTGAATTAATTCATAACAATGTCTTAAAATGAAAATAACAACACCATAATAAAAATGATTTTCTTTCTTATTTTCTCTACAAATTCTTGACCAACCCATAATTCTCTTATTTAAGTAAATTTCCCATAATCAAATTGAGAGGTTTTATGGGCAAATGTCTTGTTGCAATCCATTAAAGCTCCATGTTAGGTGACAAGCACAAGTAAGAGGTTAGAAAAGACCCAAAAAAAAAAAAAAAAAAAGAAAAACGGCAAGGTGCAAGTAAGATAGAATTGAAAAGAGGGTTATTCTCCTAAACCTAAAAACAAAAACAACTAGAATAAATAATAATCGCATGCCATAGAGATATTAGGAATAATAGGTAGACAAAAATAAAAATTTATTGCTTCGTCACCAAATGGAGCATCAGATGATTTGGGTGAGGAGAAGGCTTAAGGAGATGGAGGAGTAGATGGGCGGTTGCGAGGAATATGGTTCGGGTTTGGTTGAGGACTATGGTTCGGGTTTGGTTGAGGACTCTTTTGAAGGATGGCAGCTCCAAAATTTCCAAAGTCTTCATAAATTCCATTTCCTGCCAAAAGAAAGAAATAAATAAAATTAAAACTGGACACTCTAATTGTTGAAATATGAACAAAACTAAGTAACGAAATTGATATATCAGCAGCTAAACAGTACTTTCATACTGTTAACTTTATGGTTTCTAAGATGTAGCTTAAATAAGAGCGTTGGATTTAGGAGATTATGTTGAGTTGGGCTATGCACAGATGAAAAATGTTAATATTTAATCAAAACAAAGATATAAACAACTAATCAACACTGAAAATAATCTTTACCCATCCGAGGGGATGTTTGATAAATAAGCCTTGATTCCACTGTAGGCATGAGAGAAGCATTTAAAATCAAGCCTAGAGCCGCCATAAACATGACACACTTCAACAATGCCTGCATCCTCTCTCTCTCTCTCATGTGGGCAAGGTTCCCTATCTCCCCAATAGATTTATAGTTCTATCATGGAAAAAAAAAAGTTGGGGAGCCTAAATTTTTCCTAAAATATGAAATATTCTATTTATAGGTAGAAATTACAAAGAAGGTCGGTTAACTTTTTTTTTTTCTTTTCAAAATTGTCTTTCGATTCGAGGACATTCTCAGACCCAATTTTATTTGCACTTCCTTTAAGCTTGGGGCATTGTCGTACTAACAAAAAAAATAAAATCAAATTTGGATCGAGAATTCCTTCCTTTTTTGACTGAGGGGCGATGTTAGAAAAAAAACAAAGGTTGACTGACTTTCTTTATAATTTCTATAGATAGATAGAGCAATTCATATTTTAAAAAAAACAATTTAAGTTGTGTACGTAAATTACTCGAAAAGTTGGGCAAGCGTCAATAGGTCGCTATCTCACGTTTGAAAGAAAGTATAGTATTTGGTGGCCAAAGTTGATGAAAAAACGCATCTTCTAGGAAATGATGGTGTGAGATTTTTCTTAGGAGGTGCGCTGTCTGTCTTAGTCATAATAATTATGATTGTAGAGAAAAATTATTTCCAAAAAAGTTAGATAAGAGAGAGATAAGAGTTGCGATGGCGGGGAGAAATGGGAAGGGGTTCCACTTTCAAACATATGGAAAAGGATTCAAATACGTGGCTCTCTCTTTCTTGCTTGCTTCTTCCATTACCTTTAAAACAAACAATCAACTTAATTCTTACTTCCCCATTCGAATCGTACAAATCAGGGAAAATTGCCTTTGATAAAATCTGGTAGTTAGAGTTATAACCGCCATGTTAATCGGAACTGGCCATTTTTAGGTTTCTACCTGTTTTGGTAAACCCGTTGGGTATTTAAAAAAAATTGAAAAAATTAGAAAATCTTTAAAAAGTAAGAGATTTTGTTTGTAATGCATTTTTTATGTTTTTCAGCAGCTTGATAAAGACTGGAAATTTTTTGATTCAGTAACCAAGATTTTAATTTCCTTACCGGCTCGTCGATAGCCGTGATATCATCTTCCTCCGTAGAAGAAAATGTGAGACGTGGATCTTGCCAATGTTCGATTGAATCATTTGAGGATGTTCCTTCATCTTGTTCCACTTCCAATTGGTACCTCAACCTCCCATCAGAAATTTCCTGAACCCTCCTCCTAATGCTCTGTATCTTAGTCGCGAACTTATGATGGACTTTCAATTTCTTGGCAAAATTCAAAAAACGATTTTTCCCACCACATCGCTGGAAATTCTTCATCTGAATGATGTACTCATCGAGGATATCATCTTCTGACACGTCTCACCCAATCTTTGAGTTCATCATCTCTCGCTTTTCTTTTATCAGCACTTTGCAGGAACACTTTCATTCTCCTGAGCTCGTCTCTTATCCAAACATAGTCTCTGGGAACTCCGAAGAGGAGCTGACCTTCCTTTGTGATAAAATCATTCAATCTCTCCAAGAGAAATGTTACAAGAGCCTCTGCCATCCCTTTGCTCCTCAAAACCAGACTCTCAAGTGCTTGTGGTTAGTTTGCAATGAGAATAATTTATAGTGTGTTAGATCTATATGGTTGTGTTGGCCCAGTTTTTTTTCATTTGGGAATCAAAGAATGTCCTCAAAATATGCACACTACAATCTAAAAAAGTCTTTGAAAGGGAAAATGGACATCCATAGAGACTGTTGCATTTGTGGTACATTTGATTTTAAAAATTGCATTATTGAGAGAAAGAAAGAGGCCAGTCCCTTACATTCCAATTATTAACAATTCCATATCGTTGTATTGATATCAAATGGAAATAGGGAAGAAGCTTGGCATTTGAGTATATTTCAAAGCAGACAATTTGAGAATAGTTTCCATGCGATGTGGATAATAGAAGGGTGCAGTCCCTTCACGCCAATTATTAACAATTGCATTTCTGCTACATTGAATTATTAACAATTCCATATCGTTGTGTTGTTATCAAATGGAAATTGGGAAGAAGCTTTGCATTTGAGCATTTTTCAGTTCACCTAATATTACCAAAATGCCACTTGCTTTAAACCAATTAAAAAGGGAAAAGAAAAAATAAGAAAGCTTCATAACCATGAGGTTTTAGCCCTATCTCTAAAGGCTATTCATCACATGCAAGGGCCACACAGTACATTGGCTCTCATCTGGGCATACTCCGACTTCATCAAGAGATAATCTACGAAACCCTTCTCGGTAGATCCCTATGCCTAAGTATCTTGGGTTTTTCCAAACCTCGGCTGGCCTAGCTCGTCGAGCCTAGTCCGAATATCAGCAAATAACATTTGCCTATGGTCTACAAAAGGACTACACTCCCATTGAGTTTATGTTTCACTATATAAAATGCTTATACAAGCTCTTATAAGGCCTTTAAAGGCAACATAAACCCAATATCTCTCACTTGGCCTTTGAAGGCCTTACATTCTCTCTTCCTCATTTTCTCTCATCCCTATCAATCTCTCTTAATAAAACCCATATTCTTTTGAGTGGAAAAATTTGGGGCAACAATGATATATAAAATTTGTGGGGTTAAGACTAATATTTGCTATAAATACCATAGGTGGATATTGTTGGGACGTGATTCAAAGATTACTCTTCCATCTCTTAAGGGGGTACTTTCATTGTAGAAAAAATGCATTTTATGGACGCTCATAAAAGTGCATTTATCGAGAAAAAAATACAATAAAGAAGATCAAATTGTATTTGAAAAATAAATCTATTGCCAAGCCAGCATTTCTACAATATGCAGGCTGGTCGCATGCTAACCACATCCATTACATAATGATCTAACTTTTCTAAAAATCTGTAAGGCCCTACTTTTTCGCCTTTTATATTTTTTATTTAGTCTTCCTTGGTCTAGTGTTGCAAATATTCCATCTATTTTCTTAATTTTTTTTTTTTTCTTGCCACTACCTGCTGATCCCATGTTTGAAACATCGAAATACCCAACTTTAGGGCAATATGATGATTTAAACTTTGGACCAATCCGTGCTTTTGGATTTAAATGTGGTCCAATAATTGCAATATTGAACTGACATAAGGTGCACTTTTTTTGTTTTTTTGGTTGAAGAAGTTGTCTAATATTTACAATATCGGTCCTCCCTTAAGGTTTTGTGTCAAGCATGATCAAATTAGGGCTTAAAAGCCCTAAAATCAACTTCATCTTTTCATCCCAAAATGAGGTTTTGGTAAAAGAGAGGATTTTTTTTTGGGTAGTTCAGTGGGGAAGGGGTCCTGTACCTGTAGTATGAATCCCGTAGTAGGAATAGAAGGCCTCACATTGTGGTACCCCGTCACAATGCGACGTCTGGAAATCCTCACATTGTGGCGCCTCATCACAATGTGAAGTTTGGAGAGAGAGAGAGAGATAGAGAGAATATGGGGGATGAAAGTTTAGGTTTCAATTATGGGTTTCAAGCCCGAATTCAATCTCTAAACCCAAAAAAAAGGAGAACCCCCACCTGTCCCCACCAAAAAAAACAGAGAAAAAAAAGAGAAAACAACTTAGATTAGTCCGATGTTGCAATCTTTAGAGTACTTCGAAAAGAAAAATGAATTTAAAAAAAAAAGAAGAAGAAGAAGAAGAGAAGAAGTAAAAAGATAAGGGATTGGTCCAATATTTGAATCATCTACTCTAAAACAAGGCAAGAAGATTACTTTGGAGTGAAGTGATGTTTTTGGTAATGTGCAACCCAACTTTAGGGCAATCCCAAGTTTCATCAAACTGACCTCTGGCCTCCAGGAAATCCCTAGTGTTAAAAAAAAAAAAATAAAAAAAAATAAATTCGATGTTGCAAATATCAAATTGAAGATAAATCTGAAAAAAAAGAAAATATCACTGCATAAATTTTTGAAAAAAATTGGACCTTTACGAAATAGTGGAAACCTTTTCTTTGGTCCGTATGTCATTTTTCCTTTGACATTATGTATTAATAATAGGGATTGTCTACATAGACCATTTATTTTTTATACAGGGAAGTCACAATCGTTCTTTTCTCTTAGATTTCAAAATGGGTCGTTGTACGCAAAGTTCCAAAAAAAGTATTATCAGACGTTGTGACTTACCCCAAGCTATCCAATTTGATATGTAATGAGTGAGAATAGTTAAAAATACAAAAGCTAAATGATCTCTTTGGAGACAATTCGCTAATAATAAGGGATTTACGTCTGTATGTCTCTCCAACAATGGACAGAGAAAAAAAGAACTTTTATGAGTAAATGTTGAGGTTGGTGATCCCGATGAAAAGCTCTTTCCCAAATGAAGTTTGAAGGAATCAAGAATATATATGTTTATTTGATATTGTTTCCTATCTTGTGGTGTAAATTCTAGATAATCAATATTTTCCCATAATTAAGTTACAAAAGTGTAGGATATTGTGAGTTGCTTGGGGATAGAACGAGGAGTAAAGCCCACATTAGGCTTATATGCCAGGGAAAGTTTTTAGTAAGGCCTCAACAACATATAAATTATATGTAACCCTAGTTCTTAACCGATTGGTTCAAAATCGATGGCTATGATTGTTCATGCCACAATTTCATGCCAAATATTATTTTATTTTTTATTTATTTTCTACAAAATAGTTTAGGATAAAATTTTCGGCATCCCATCTAGGGAAAACTTGGGAAACGTAAAAAATAAATATTTCCCATAAATATAAATGACCAAAATTCCCTTGATATATTTTAGGGATATTATGGTAAGTGTTTATCAAGCGAAATATTTGTATATTATTTTATCATGTGACCCTTGTCAAATCTATGCATGCCTCAAATTTTGTTTCAAAACGATTTTTAGAATAAAAATTAAAAACAAAAAACTATGCGCCATTCGATCAAGTTCTGAAGAGGAGCTGACCTTCCTTTGTGATAAAATCATTCAATCTCTCCAAGAGAAATGTTACAAGAGCCTCTGCCATCCCTTTGCTCCTCAAAACCAGACTCTCAAGTGCTTGTGGTTAGTTTGCAATGAGAATAATTTATAGTGTGTTAGATCTATATGGTT